CAGTTAATAATGCATCTGCACTGCAAAAGTCACGTGTATTGACAGCTATCACCTCGGATTTGCCAGAAGCACCTACAAAGCTCCAGCTAGAAACTAACCATTTCCTGTTTTTCTGGGCTTTTCTCTGCTTTCACAAAACTTACTGTAATTCTACAAACTAGTCAGTACGGCCAAAGCTACAAACACCAATTGATAACTGTCACAAACTGACACGATGCTACCTACTCTTCTGCGCACTGGACTTTTTTTTGTTGCCGTCACTCATTTGGCCACCACGCAGTCCATCTCCAACTTCACACTCGAGCTGTCAGAGTCTCATCAAATGCAACATCTCACATGGCCAAAAAGTCAATTCGCCCGGAACTCATGCAACTCAAAACTCCCCCCAGTGACGGCTGCCTGTCTGTTAACGTTGTCAGTGGTGCTTTGATAGGTGCTCGACTGCCAGGTTATTAATATTTCACTGGTGATAACTCTGGCTTTCAAACATAAAGGCACGCGGCACCTAAGGAAACTAATGCATTATGTATCAGACGGTATGTCCTGAAGAATATAGGAAGAAAAAAGCGAATATAGCTGATAGCACAATGTCTCACCGTCGATACGCGCAATATAAAACCATGCCAACTCCAGAGAACTCCAGTTACAATAGTAACAATTCACGCTTAAATTCAGTGAAACAGCAATGAGACAACTGAAATCAGTCGTTCTAGTCTTTTAGCCTCCGTGAGGGACTCACTCTCCTTACGACGGGTCACTCTTTGACATGTTTTCATTCCACGGTTTGCTCGGCACCGCTAATCGGATCCGATCTGATGAAAGTGCCCATCGTCATGACAACAGGGGCAGGCTCGTTTCTGTGGCAAAGACTGATGTTGAGCACAAAACTGAGTGAAAGTAAAAAAAAAAAAAAACTAAAAAAAAACGACAATAGCTCTGACGGAGAGGAGATTAGATAAACAGCAGCAAGACGAGGTGACAGCTGAGGTTGGAAAGAAACATCAGTGCACTCGGTAAGTGTGAATGACAGACACTTAGGCAGGGAAAATGCAAACAGAATCATTGAAAGCTAAGACGGACTGTGTATATGAAGTCTTCAGTTTAAAGGAAGGACTGTTAGGAAATCATTTTAAATGGAAGGAAAGTCGATACAGCAATAGGCAAGACTGATTATTGATAGTTTTTGCTTTTCTTCCTCTAAAATTGCAGATTTTTTTTCTTGCTATTCACACTGACTATTTAGTATGTTGCCGAGTGTGAAAGGAGCTGAACAATGTATCCCAAACTGCAAATTCAAAGCAAATAATTACATGCTAAAACTGCTTAGGCTTAATCAAATGTTTGAAGGTTTTATTCTGATCTGTGGTTAGGGGTCTGGGTATGAGTCCCCTTACAGAATTCTAACTTGAGGCATCAAATGATTTGGGTGGATGAGGTGGAGCTGCGAGTCTTTAGGGTCAATACTAAATGAGCACAGTGGATTTTTCCTAATAATACAGCAGGAGGGTAGTAGTGCTTCCTATGTCTCCGGTAATATAAAAATCAATTAACACCAGCCTGGAAACATTTTGCTGCACTGAAATGAAGGCGTAATTAAACATGGTTGCCTTTCACTGCTCTGAATGACTGTCAGTCGGATCCGTGTGCGGCAGTCATACTGAGGGAATGAAGAGCAATTTCTGAAAGGAAGAAAAAGATGCAGGAGGATCAGATGATTTATAATGTATGAAGGCTGTTAGGAATATACTGGAATTTTAATACTCGTCAAAAGATGAGAGAGTTTGACGTAGAGTACAGAAAAGAACCCTTATGAAAGAAATATGTACTATATAGACAATTAGTTTAACATATGAAAACAAAATAAGGACGGTGTATGAAGGCTGAGGGGAGAGTAGGTCGATTACTCACTGAGCTTGCAGCAGAATATCACACACTCTCAATGCACAAGACTTAAAAAGTAGATTTTAAGACACCATGGAAAATAAATCTGTGGGGTTTCTCTACAACACACCCATATTTATGAGCATGAATACTTCTGAAAAGCTTCCAACTACATTCAACCAAAACAGCAACAGGAGGCTGTACACACACAATCTCTACAAGAGAACTGGAGGTTTTTTCATATTTAGAGAGAAAAAAATATGTAAAATGAGTTAAAATAATGTGTTTATGGATTTAAAGGTTTTCAGTGACTCATTTTGCAGGGCGACTGCAAGTACCGACGAACTGACTGCTGATTTAGTTAGCTGGCTATATTTTGTCCATGTAGTTTAAGATTTCATTGTTATATTTAATTTGAAATATTCAAATTGAGGCACATTTAGGGGATCAAAAAAAATCTTTTAGTATAGATCCTGTACGCCAAATGCTTGCACAGACAGCAGATGGCAACTCCTCCAGCTGCAACGGCAAATTTAATTGTATAGAAGTTTATGATGTAGCTGTGGCTCAGGTGGTAGAGCGGGTCGAACTGATGAGTATGTGTGATTGTTATATAATATAGCAGGAGGGTAGCGCAGAAAAAAAGAGCTTGTATGAAGGTGTGTGATTAGGTGAGCGATCCTTAGTACCAGTCCATTATGAGAAAATGCATACGGCACACTTGTATTTTTATTATTTCAGACCTCAGTAAACATTTCCTAATCAGTATATTCTTGTTTGTTTTAATTCTTTAATACATTCTAGTGTTCTTTTGGGGAATTATGGCCCCTAGCAAAGCAGACAAAGAACTCAATAAGCCATAATGTAGCTTTCTTGTGAGAGATAAGTCACCACCATAATTCCATGAAAGGTCCCTGGATTCTACATGAATCCAAAAAACCAACAAGGTGACAGCTATAAATACCAAACTCAAGGCTTCAGAATAGTAGTCGAACTAATGGCTGAGATTAGGGTGGAGTTACTGTAGACTGTAACATTTTAGTTACAGTGTTACAGTGTAACATTTTACATTTAACACTAACTAAAATGTTAGTATTACTGTAACATTTTAGTTACACTGTAACATTTTAGTTAGTGTTACTGTAACATTTGTGTTACTGTAACATTTTAGTTACACTGTAACATTTTAGTTAGTGTTACTGTAACATTTTAGTTACAGTGTACAGTAACACCAAAGTCAGCAGGTTTTCAGGTTTCCTCAATTTATCAAGGTGACAGGAATCAGTTCAGTTTCATTATGTTGTTATAATCAGCTTCATTTTACACTTCACAAGGTTAACATGTAATTGTCACGCGTGTAGGTTTAGTTAAGTTAAAGAACAAAAACACAGGAAGGGCTGCAAATCTTAATCATCCTTTTATAGAAGTAAAAAAAAAAAGCAGCAACAAAAATACTTCACAAGGTCACTTCAGACCTTGTGAAGTTAAAAAAGAAAAAAATGTCACAGACATCTCTGCCCTGCCTCACCTCCTGCTCACTTGTTTTGTACTGATGCCATCTGGTCAGAGGTACAACCACACCTCTTCACCCAAACTGAAGTCTTACTATTCTAGTCCATTACTAAACTACAACTAATAATAGTTTTGTTTGTATCCAAGTGAGTTTACTCTTTAGGGACAGAGAAATCTAATAGAGTACCATTTGTATTCCTCAATACCGAGTCGCTCATCTTCCTACATGATCTGGCATTAAACAGACCAAAATCATGTCTAACCTCATGTAAAATTACAGGATAGATTTTGAAGGACAACAAAAGGCTATTAATACAGTTTTATTACGTTAACAGACCAAATCCATCTGAAAACGTTTCTCTGTGATCAGACGCGACTGTGACATTTGTAGCAAAAGTTTCTGTCAGCAGCTACATCACACTTTCATCTGCTCTTCAATCTGAACTTTAACAATCATTTTAGGCTAAGTTTTACTCAAAGTGTTAATGAGTAATGGGAAAAAAATTATAAAAAACAAACTAGTGTCCTTAAACGTGCAGTCTCCTTTTCATAGAGAACTGTTTAATAAGCACGGCAAATACCTGACATTATTTCTGCTGACTGCACATTTATTAAAGTTTAAACTCTTCTCCATCCTGCTGCTTCTACTCGTGTAACATTATGAAAGTGGCAGAAACTAGGTGACAGCCAGTTATTACCTGTACTTACATGCAAAATGATTCAACTCATGTGTTTTGCTTCTTCTGACTGCACTGTTCAGCTGCCTCTCTGCTGCAGATTAAGCGAACACTATAATCTTTATAAGTCAGCACCAGTTAAAATTTTTGGCACGACATGTTGGTCCCAGTAGTTTTCACAAGCCTCGTCTCAAACATCATACAACTAAATTAATCTGCTATTTCAGTGCAGGAAGGCCAATCTGCTGGCCACAGGGATCAGAAATCCTGTTTGTTGTTCCCCTGGTAAATTGTTAATATCTCCGTCCTCCCACTGTTATCAGCACTTCACTGCGACTGCACCAAACCGAATCAAACCTCAGTCATCCGCACTGACGGAAAGATCATTTCCTGCAGATAACGTCTTTTCTTTATTAAACTGTTAAAACATCAGAGTTAATTAAAGATAAAAATTGGGCCATTAGAGGAATTAAGATTAAATGTATTATGATACAATTAGTGACAGTTACTTAACAATAACGTGCACTTTTCTTCACCCCACTCCCCTCCAAAAAAAAAAGCAAATGATAAAAGAGGTGTCCACAGACAGCAGGGGTTTTTGTGCATTGTTAGCATTTATTTATTTAATATCCTTTAATATCCTATGAAGGTTGGCTTTGAATGCACAAGAATTAGGCTGAAAACAACTCATTGAATGAACTCTACTTAAGTCAAGTCATTTCTCATCAGCTAACTGAATCCAAGAACATTTACTCAGTTAAAATCCTGCTTTAATAGGGGGAAGTTTTTAACCTCGTTTACGTGTCCGTGTGGTGATTCATGCATGTTAGAGATGATATTGTGAGCGTAACAAGCTAACAAAGCCGTGGCAGGAAAAACAATTAGATTAGTGATGTAAAAACAGTGAGAATGGTGTAAGTGGTTACTTACCTCAAACTCTTCTGCAATCTTGGGTCCATCCAAGAACAGCCTGGTGCTGAGACAATCCACTGGGCCAAAGTTGGCTGAAAAAAGAAAACAGGAAGTGCCGTTTTTGTTAGAAACAGTGTCGGCGCCAGTTCTCTGCACATCAGTTAAAAAAGTTGAGAGATCAGCTCTCTGATCCAGGATCAGTAATCTTGATAACGCTTGTATGGTTCTTCAGAGCCACAAGAGAATTAGATTATCCAGGCCGAATTCAATCATCTGAACTGATGGTGTACTCTTGTGGTCATTCAAATGGGAAACATATCGACACTGGAAACCACGACCAGCAAATCTATGATTCTATCAGGAACTTACTGAGATAATTCCCACTGACAGTGAAAACTTCAACAGAAATAAGAAAAGAGGAGAGTTTAAAAAAAATAAAATCGAAAAAAACGTCTGATCTAAAATGTGAAAAAGAAATAGAAATAACTGCATTACATCATGCCTTTATGCTTACGCGTCATAAAAGTCAGTCACAAAGTAAAAATGCAAACACCTTTGTACTTTCAAGAACTATTTTTTAAATCCATATGCTATATTTTTACAGGTCAACAGAACAAAGATCTTCTATCCTGATTTGTTTAGAGCACGATGAAGGCAGGATCTCCACCTCTGAGCCCCTGACATGGTGCAGCAGCAGTGACTTGATTTTAAGTTCATCAGATGTTCCGTCACATCACAGGTCCCTCGCTGTAATTACTGCAACTCATCCACAACTGTTGATGGGCAGACGGAGGAAATCCCACATTTTCCCCCAGATGTTGGCAAATTAGCCACAACCAGGTCCCTCCAACTTAAATTAATCTCTCAAGTTAAAGAATCAGAAAGGAAAAAGGATTGTGATACTTGTCCAATCGATCCCCTTGAAATGCTGTCCAGGAAGAATCCCACAGCTTCAGTTTAATCATTTAATCTTGTTTGCGTAACTAAACTTGCTGCCGTGTAGGATTGACTTTACATCCACTGGATGATCTGGGATCAAGCCAAACTCCTATCAGCTTGATTAGACTAAAACATAAATTTAGATATGGAGAACAGGCCCCGGATATGTGCCTTTTATTAAACTCCCACCAAATAATATCTCATTTTCATCACACCACACAGGAGAAACTGCAGAATATCCAGCTTTAAAAAATGGCTTGTTTTGGTAAATATTGTAAATATGAAACACTCATAAAAGAATGAGTGTTCACATTAGATTAAGGGTTGTATAGAGCCTAGCCCGCTATTGAAGGAACAACTGCACATTAATTAAAAACCTTCACATAGAGCCAACGCCAGACTAACAACTAACAACGTCCTAACTCCACAAAGAATAATTAAACTCAGGTCAATCCAGGCAGCAGCTTCAAACTGCTTCCAGTCAAATCTGATTCATATGTAACCTTTATTGTTGAATTTGCTACATTAGTCATTTCTTGCTCCAAGCTTGTGCCTTTAGACCAAGTTGGAATTACGATGATTTCTCTCTCCAAACACAAAAATATTTGCACCAAATGGGTCAACTTTATACTCTGCGTTCCTGACCCAAGTTTGGCTGGTACCAATTTCAAGCCCCAGTAGTAACACAAATGAGAACAACATACCACAAACTAAGACTTGTTTAATCACACGAATGCAGTGTGATTAAACACACATTTCACACAGCAGTTAAATTACAAAAATTGAAACAGAAAAAAAAGAAGTCTCATAAACCCTACAGTTTATTTCCAGTCGGTCCACTCACCAGTAAACTCCTTAAACTCCTGGAACACCTTGGGGTACATGGCTGCTGACATCACATCCTCAGGGGTGATGTCATCCCCGTGTGTGGCTCGCAGGCCCTCTTCCAGAGACTTGAAGTCCATAGGTGGCAGAGAGGCACCAGGTCGACCGTCAATGCGGGGAAGAGACTTCAGCACCTGAAATAGGATGTTGAAACGGAAAAGGAGGAAATGAAGATGAAATGAGAGGGGAAAAAATAAGAATCGCAGCAAAAGAGGGTCGCGAACAAACTATTTACTAAAACTTTATAAAGTCATACAGTCTTTCTGGATTTTCTTCATAACGTCCCCATGGGAGGTGGAAGCATGTGAAATATCTAAAGTGATGGTAAAACCTTCACATTGTACTTCACAGCTTTACATAAAAACTTGAACCTGTCAAAAACACTAAATTGACACAGAGTGAGAGGAAGAGGAAGACAGATGCACTGAATGCTTTGAGGCACAAAGGAGGAGAGAAGCAGTAGAAACAGAGAATAGAAACTTAAGTTATTTTTTTTTTACATTTACATAAAAACAGCAGCACTGTCATGTCAAGCTCTGCGGTGGATTCCACTTTAGTTCTCTCCATCTCCCTCATTTCAGCCAGTAAGCTACTATCAGCCCATCAAACATGACTGCAGCGTTACACGTGACAAAAAAAATAAATGACAATTCAAAGAAACTGTTCAGAAGCAATATACAGACACTGCTTTAAGACCAATGATATGACATTTTATCTGCCCACACAGTTGCTGGTGTCTGAAAGAGACAATTGATCTGGGGCTAATAATAATGTGCGCTGAGGAGATCATGTTGAGAAGTGTCAATTCATCTAAAGGCTGCTGTAAAGAGTAGGAACCCTTGTTTTGTCTCCTGAAACATGCAAAAGGAGGAAGCTACTGGAAGACTTTGCGTTTTCACTCCTGTCTTTGGTGCTGACCTTTGTGGTCTATGTTATAGTGTGAAAAACTAAGCACATCCCATGACTCAGTAGGTCATAGAAGCACCTTCAACAACTTAAAGTCGTACACAAAGCAATTCATCAGTTTCTCACATGCTGTGGAGGAATTCTGGCCCATTCTTCTTACAAATGCTGCTTCAGGTCATTGTTGTTTGTGTGCATCTGTTAAGGTTTCAATCAGTTTGAGATCTGTTCTTTGATTGGGCCATTCTGTTACAGATTTCACTGTCCTGGTCCAGTTTTAGACAAGCTTTAGTTGTCAGAAGATCGTCACACAATATTGCAATATACAGAGGGGGTCATGGTGAGGTGACCCCTCCTCCACCTTGCTTGATAGTTGCTATGAGGTGTTTGTGCTGCTCTGCTGTTTCGTTTCCTCCACTTTGGTCTCGTCTCTCCAAAGGACGTTGTTCCAGAAGTATTGTGGCTTTAGTTGAGATGCAACTTTGCAGACCCATGTTCTTTTTAGATAAGAGGCTTCCCGGCTAGCCACCCTCCCACACAAGTGATACTTGTTCAGTCTTAACACGCCAACTGTAAAGTCAGAGATGTTATATTTGTATTTTTTTGCAGTTTCTGGTCAGAGCGTTGCACAATCTGACCTCAGGGGAGAATTTGCTGGGATGTTCACTCCTGGGAAGATTGGCAGCTGTCTTGAATATTTTCCACTCGTGAATAATCTTTCTCACTGTAGAATGATGGACATCAAATTGTTTGGAAACTTTCAACCCTTCTCAAATTGATGGACAGCAACGGTTGCTTCTCCAAGTCGTTGCTTTTGGTCTTTCCTCCTTGGCATTGTGATAATACATGCAGAGGTGCACACACACTTGCTGATGATCAGTTCATTGATTGTATTTGTTTATCAGCTTATTTTGTTAATAACAGTGAAATAAGTTATGTTTTACAGTTTATCTGAGGTTATACTGACCTAACTTAAGACCTGCTGAGGACCAGATGATTTTTATTGCATCCTGATAAAAGTAAAACCTTGGAACTGAAAAAGGGCGTACTTTCTACCACAACTGTATACATTTGTTATGTTTACTAATTTGTGTGCTGCTTTGCATCTTCATAACATCATCAAGCATGTGTGTGTGCACCCTGCAGAAATCTCTACACAAAGGGCCCAGTGCAATTCTATTAGTCACAGAGCTAACCGTTCAAAGATAGCTTACTCATTTGTGCGTGTGCGAGAAAGGCACTTCAAAGATAGCAGGTTCACTGGAGTCCCTGCTCATTAGCACAGTCTCCTCTGAGGATGGCCTCACACCTAAATGCTTGATTGTTTAAGTGTGAGACACAGACAGTGACTCCGTGTGTGTGTCTGTTTCCATTAACAAATAAAGGAAACTTCCTCCAAGGTTATTTGGTGACTCTCCGCATTTCTGTGGGAAATCCTAAACATCACACGCACTCAGTTTTCCCCTTTCCTTTCTTTTCAAGTATGCTCCTCTGAGGGATATGCTGCATTTTTAATGACACTCATTTCATTAGCTCGTTTCATTTCTGATGGTCTAATACACTTCTCTTTCCTCAGTCTCACAATCCACATTCCCACCTTGTCCCCCATCTTTTTCCCTTGTCCATTGTGTTTTTTCCACCCGCACCAGACGAGGAAACAACTCAGTTACCACTTTATGATTCAAAGGAATGAAAGTAACTTTGCGACAGCCTTTGAGAAATGAATGAATGTGATATAATTATGGAACGCCTGTTCACCAGCTAATTAACACCACCGAAGCACCATTAAGGAAACACTGCTGCTTCTTTGCTGATAGCGTACGAATATAACCTTAAGCTACAGCGTACAGCTGGGGTTATACATGTGTGTGCTTATATGCATTAATAAAGATGAGCGACACAGCAGCAACTAAAGGTCAATGACTGAAGGCAAAGTAGTCACAAGCTAGCTGTGCTTTCTAAAGATAATGTGATAAATGTTTTACTTTCTTTCCGTTAAAACAAAATTCCTCTCGTGTCTTTTCACGTCTGAGCCGAGGTTATGTAAATCAGTCATGCTGATACATGGTGTGTGTGTGAGTGAATATCAGATTTAGGTCTCAGCTGTGCGGCTTCCGTGTCGACATAGGCAAACACAATAGCACACAAATTAAAACACAATGAAATCAAAGCAAAAGTAAACTGTGGTAGTCATCATTTAACTGAATGAACGACTGAAGTTATGCTGTGCGCTCAACTGCCCCTCGGTGCTGACGGGCTGTCGGTGTCTGAATATCGAGAGATTTAGTCAGATGTTCTGGCTGAGATGAGAGGATTTCGTATGAAGTATTTACTCGGAGTACACACTACGATGCAACCTGCAGCTCTGATAGTTGTTTTTTAAAAAAGTCTGGTGACTTTTTTGCATTATTTGGAATGCAAATATCCACTTAAGTAACAAGTTACATGAAAAAAGAAAACAGTGACACTTTAGCATCTTGCAGCGTGAATGCTGACCGAACAGAAAACCACAAACCAAACACAGCAGCTATCTGTGCTTTTTAAAATGGTAATGACTCACCAGACAAAGTATTTAAAAACACAAGACACACCAATATACCATCACAACTAAATAAAAAACATCTGATTATGGTTGAGGAATAAGAAAATTGGCAGGAGGACAAGCGATGTTTCAAACAAACAAAGAAAGGGAAGGACGGGAGCCAAATGACGACAAAAACAAACCAACAGATCGTTTAAGATAAAACTAAGCTATGAACTGAGGCTTTAAAAATGACTTGACCAGTGGGGGAATACATTAAAGTATTAAAAATTCCCTTTAACTGTACATCTACACACTTACACTGCTCAATATATTAGATGGAAAAGGAAATACTGAAAAAAAAACTTTTCAGAAATGTCAACTAGCCACTATGTTAGAAACATTGGGGAAATTGTGACATTTTTTTAAATCCTCTGTGTGTTCTTGTAACTCCCAAGGAGACGTCATGCTGGTGGCCCCCTGATGCGCATAGCGGTCGCCCTCGCTGTATGCACTCGTGAGGAGAAGAAGAGCAGAGGCAAAGAAACTGTTTTCAGCTTGTGCCAGATGAGATAAAGCATGAAACACAACTTTAGTGTTTGCATGTGTGTAACACCTTTAATGAAGCTCTCTGGCCCGTGTTTGTTACAAAAAGGCACAAGTGAAGGCCGTGAAGGACAAATGTTGAGCGAGTATTTTGTGATCTAAATAGCCGTGTCCATTTATTCCAGCAGATTGGAAGTTAAATGGTTTTTAAATAAATAAATGAATGCTTTTGTACAAATCCTTATTGGAATTATATACAAAGACTCCAATATGAGTACCTTAGATCTGAACGGCTCAGGGAATCCTCCGTGTGGTATCCCAACGTATCCCTGAAGGAACTCGACGACAGAGAGGGGGAAGGACAACTCGTCCGCTCTCTCCTCCACCTCTGCTCTGGTCAGGTTGTTCTGCACCATGAACTGGGCCAGGTCACCCACGATCTTTGAGGAAGGAGTCACCTAGCAAAGAGGAAAAAAGTCTGAGCACTTTGGGAGTGTTAAACCCATTTCTGGATAAAGAAAGTTACTATTAGCCTGATGTACCCTTCAGTTGGATACTTATCACAGTTTGCTTAGGACAAGGAGAGCCGCTGTTATTCACTGTGGCTTTTAAGCTGACAGAAAAAAAAAAAAAATATATCCACATATTTATAGAGAAAAAAATAAAGTATTAAGAGAAAATCGAGCATCTTTTTAGTTGGGTAATGTTAGAGTAGAAGTTGCTGCAGTTTGTCTGTCAGGCTACAGCATTCTTCCACGCCAAGTCCTCCCGTCTGCAGAGCACAGGTATTTCTGCACATCCGCGGTGATTTCAGCAAAAGAGAAGTGGTCACAGAGTGTTTGTTTTAATGAAGATGCTGTCTACAAAGATTAAGCACAGAGAGACCCGGAGGAAGGGAAATGAAAAGATGTTTACATCGACACAGCCTCTTTAATCATCTGATTTGGTCTGCTCCGTGAAAACAGAATGAACCTGAAAACGAGGAGGGAAGAAAAAAGGGTGCAGAAAACATTCATTAAAATCACACGTATTCACTCTTTCATTATTTATAATGGCATATCATTATGGTAATAGCGATCCCTATTAGCATAATGGTGATAGGTAGAGTCACTTCAGACTGAACAGGACACTGGTGCAAATATCAGTTGCACACATTACTCTTATTGTAATGATTGGAGACGCAAATTTAAGGGTTTCCTGTTGACTTCCATCTGGTGCTTGGACCATTAAAGTGAGAAAGGGGTCAATTAATATGACCCACCAACTTCCAATCTCATAAACAAACACTACGGTTTGTACTCAGTCCTTAACATTTTATTATCTGTTAGAAAGAGAGAGCCAAGGGGGAATAAAACAGAAAAGATGCTGTTAGTTTCACCTTCCAGATTTAACCTCTTCTAAATTTAAAAACCATTTTCACATTTTGGTTTTTGGGGTTGTTTTCAACCCCGATGCATCGTCTGTAAATGTAAGAACTGACAGCTGAAGGAGCAGCGCATGCAGGAAGCGTGTCCACGTTTTACACAAAGTCTATTTCCAAGGCAATTAGAGCACTCAAAAGGAGAGAGAGCAAGGAGAGAAAAATGGATGAACAAATTTAGAGTAAGCTGACATTCCCTGAGGAATCCCCAAACAAAGACCTTGACACCTATTTCTCAAAGAAGCGACACCAAATTATTGTGAGGAAGAAATAAAGCACACACATCCCTCTGGGATTACTACAACCTCCTGGGATTTGGGTGCTTGTTAGGCTATCTGAGCTCGTGGGATCACTTCAGTCTTTCAACAACTACAGCCCCGTGTGTGTGTGCGTGTTCCTGTTTAGGCATCTTTGTGAGGACCAGAAACTGGCATTCTACTATACTTGTGGGGACCAAGAGAGGACATGCACACCAGTCCTCACGAGTTTGAAGGCATTTTCAGGTTCAAAATGTGGTTTTAATGCCAGGGTTACAATTAAGTTCTGGTTAGGCATTCATTTTTGATGGTTAGGGGTAAGGTAAGCAGCATTATGTGAACTAGATGTCCTCACTAAGATTGCAAAACGAGAATGTGTGTAAGCGCTTTTTGTGTTTAGACATAGCAATACTGACTTTTTTCATGTCAAACTGCTGTAAAAATAGAAAATGCCATCAGTGGAAGCATATATAGTATAAACGATTTAAGCTACACTGTCAGATCAACAGAGCAAATCCTGATACAGCATTATAACATCTTTGGTTAAAAAAAACAATACTTAAGTGACAAAAATAATGAAAGTGTCTCAAACGGTTCCTCCCACTGTGCAACTGCATTTTAACAAACATCAACACGATCAGATCAGTTCTTTTGAAACTTGTTTCTGTGCAATCAGAAGCAAAGTGTCAAGAACAGCCCCAGGATGCCTGCTAAAGTCCAAAACCATTTGGACTATGTTCAAAGGACAAGTGCAAGCGAGACAAGAAACAAGATAGACGAAATGCACCTCCCTTCAGCAACACCTGTAGTTCAGGTTGACGGGGTTTGTGAGTAGAGGCTATAATGACACCCTGCTTTTACACAATGAACGACTGCAAAAAACCTTGAGAGATTTGAGCCGGTTGTTAATACAAACTGTGGAGATGTCAAACAAAAGCATACTGCTGAGTTACTTAAAATCGATCAAAACACAGCAAAGCTCAATGTTGCTTAGTTTTCTCTGCGTCTGGAGTTCATGTTTCTCCTCCTTTCACTGCGCAGGTGTTACATCTTTCCATCTTTATTACCCATCTTGACAGAACAGCCTTCTTACTTCATCCCTCACTCACTATCTTGACCTTTGTCTTTACACTAAAAGCCAACATGTTGGATTTTTACTCTTCCTTCATGAATCAACTTGGTCCCGTTCCCATCCCTCTCGTCTCTAGTCCGTCTGCCAAATATTTCTTTTTGCTTGATCCACAGTAACATCACGAGTGTTACTCTCATTATCAATCTCTGTTGATGAATCACCCACCTCCAACTCTCTCCGGATGCCTCACACACGGGGAAAAAGAGAAATCATATTTTCAGCGGTGTATGAGCTATATATGATGTGTGAGCTTTCCTATATTTTTAGACGAGGAGTGAGGAAAATCACATTGTGGTCGGGTTAGAAAAATCTGATTTCCTCTGTTCCTGCGCGAAGCCGAGCTCAGACTCTTGGCTGCTGATCGCTCTCCGTCTTACTGATAAGATGGTGTCTTTATGCCACTACTTTAGAGGGGAGTTTAGCTTTTGACTGGACTGACATAAGTAATCAGCTTCTTGAGCCTCTGAACAAAATGCACTGCAGTAGAAAACGCCTGCTGTTATCTTTTTCCCCTGACAAGACCAAGAATCCGGGTGTTAAGCCCCACTAAAAGGTTGACAGTGCACCGTGTTACATCTACATCTTATTCAGCCAGAAACCTTGAGGAGAGTCGCTGGATTCCCTCTGGGAAAGACATACTGGGACCAGATTGGATATAAAATTTGTAACAATCTGCTCTGAGATGTTGAGACGCGCAGAGAGAAATCTGATCAATTGAAGGTCCTGCGTTCAATTTCAGAGCGTCACTAAAACAGAAAAAGGAAAAAACTAACAGTCTTTGTCCTGGGGAGCAGAAGTTTCTCTGTAAATGTTCATGTTGATCCTTTCAGTAGCTGAGATGGCAGAGAAACTGACCCACTTACTGACATTGCCATTCATCGAGTCACACTTTGGCAAGGCTGAACATAAAAATAAACATCTACGCACACGTTTACCGTTAGTGTTGTATAGATACAGTGCTAAATAATTTACACTGGACATATTTTACATTCTGTTACCCAAAGCTACTTTGGAGACTGAATAGGGAGATTAAATTAGCTCCTGTCATTTCTGCCTCTCTCCCATAAATGCTTTTTATCAGGAATTAATGCCGATTAATCCAAATTAAAGCTCTCATTATCACATCTGAGACACGAGCCCTGTTCCACCCTCACCCACCTCCAGCGGCTCTTTCTGTTCCCACCACCTCCGTCTTCCTTTTCTCTCACGCTGCTCTTCCACCTTCTGTCCATCTTTCTCACTTCAACTAATGTGCAGTCCTCACTAAGTGGTCCTGCGTGACTTCGCACCCCTGGCAGCAGAAATGTGGCACAATGGCACGTTTGAGTGTGTGGCATGCCGGTGGATTTTGTGTGTGCATCTGTGTACTTTGCTCGAAATGCAACTATCCAAACCTGAACTGCCCTAAAGAGAGTAGGATTATATCATCCAGATCAGTGTGTGCGCGACTGTTTCAGGGAGAAGGCAAATGTAACGAAAACACATACACGCCCTGCCCAGCCAGCCAAGCTAGGAGCAGAGTGAAGAATGGTACCTGTCACGAGGGGAGGAGACGAGAGAGGAGCGATAACGAGAGGCTTAGAGAAGAGGGGGAGGGGAGGAACGATAGAAAGATTAGAGATACATGAAGGAAGTAATCGAAATGAGGGAAGGTGGGAGGCGGTGATGGAGGAGGAGATGAGACCAAATGAAACTGGAGAGTGAGAGTGGGGAGAGACTGCAGACGGGGTGATGAAGAGTGAGGCAGGAAGACTAAGAGGGAGAAATAAAGGGATGGACAGATTAACCGAGGGGAGGAGAGACAGAAGCAAACAGAGAAGAGCAGTAGACATCTGCAGCCCTACGGGCAATACAAGGAGGTGGTCCACCTCGAAGTATGAGAGACCGAGTGTGTTTTGAGATGGGGAGGTGAGTGGATACGTGCTTGTAATTGCAAGAGGAAAGTGACAGGGTAAGGGAAGAAGACAGAGCACACTCACAAATGCATATACAAGCTGTCCTCTTTATACCGACAAGCTCACGCTGAGACAGATGTAGCTGAGAGAGAGAGGAGGAGACTGGAAGTTGATAGCAAAACAAGTTAAAAGCAGGGAAATCGAGGAAGGGAGGCCCTGGTGAGTTTGACAACTTATGCTCAAGCAATATGCAAGTCATTGCCAATTAACCCAGCAGCTTTTGCTGCAATGCATGTTGCGCTGACATTTGCGTAGATAAAAATTAACTTTAGAAATGCTCGTTGCTTTATGTGCATTTTCAGTTCATATCACTGACACAAACACTGGAGCCATCTGTTCGTGTGTGGGGGTTTCTCACTCGAGTCTTCCAACCAGTAACGAGTAGATTTAGAACGAGACAAGAGCCCTTCTTATCTTCCAGACAAGGTTTGTCGGCTCAGTAGTGATACTGTACATATACTATGCACTATGTGACCAGTAGGCTGACAGGAGGGCAAAGGAGACTGACATCAACCAAAACACGCAGCGTACATGATGTGTTACACGAGGTGGAAAAGGGAAACAAATCTTGTGTCTCTATTCTATAGCTGCTCACCAGTTTCAAGGTCATATCATCAATGGTTCTTTTCAGCTTAGCATTCCCAGCACTACATTTTACCACATGCATGCTTTTAAACCTAATTAAACTGTATGTGATACATACATGAAAACAGAGCACAATCCTAATCCTACTGCAGGTGCCATTTAGTAGTCATTGTAGCTTGGGTCATTAAATAGTCATAGTTCAAATGCTCTGCATGCAAACGGACGGCTGGTCCACGATCATTAAGAGATTCAATCTGATCTTTCTGAACTTCATGGTCACTAATGCGAAGGAAAACTAATGAGGTAGTTTTATACCTGTTTATAATTGTAAATCAAGTCTGTGGATTAAGGCAGATTTACAGAACTGGTACAAGATACTCAGCAAGCAACGTAATGATTATACTCAGCTGCACATCTGGAATTAATATTAAGCTATGAAACTGTCAGGCTTATAAGCATTTTATGAAAATCTCCCAGATTCCCGTGTCGAGTTTGATGTTGTCTGGTACTGAGTGAGAGGCCCATGAGCTTAAGTAATGATGCAGTTTTGTAAGTTGAGACATCCAGTACAAATATCTTGATTTCTTAATTCAGAACATGACACCCACTGCAAGAAAACATGAATTAATAGACTCTGAAGTAAACAATCCCTTTAATGCAAATCACTTTTATGTAAATGCTTTGAAGACGATTAGACATTTAACTTTGTTTTTTAATCTGAAATAATTAGAGCTGTGTTCTTGATTAAAATGAGGAAAGTATCCCCATTTCTCCTTCACTGACGGCACTAAACTTCAAAGATATGGGCTTCGCCGTGGTGCGTGTGGGCATATACTTTAGGTGCACTGCTTACTGCCAGTGCAGTATGTGGTGTGTGTACTCCATGTCTATATCTGACAAGCGCACTCCTTCTCCCTTATCGACAAACCAGCAGTGTGAGAGACACAGCCATTGTCGAGCTAACAGGATACAACGGAGAGCATAGCAGGGCCCGTAGGCACATTAAGCCAACATTGGCTTGTGCAGTGAAGCCCACAGAGTCTTAATTGAATTGATAGAGAGGCATGGGCAGAGGGGTAGGGGATTGATGAGGAAAACATAAAGGGGGAGAGAAAATTAGGGAGAAGGGACCAGAGAGGGAAAATTGAGAGACCTAAAGAAAGAGAGAAGAAGGTGATAAAATAATGGGGAATCCATGGGAGCATGTCTAAGGTAAGAAAAAGCAAAATAAAGAGATGGCTGAGAATAAATGCAGAAAGCAGCATGTGGAATGGAGAGCAGAAGGAACGTGAGAGGGTGGCTCGATAATGAAAGAAAATGCAAAAGAAAGAACAAAATAATTACAGGGAGAGAAAAAGAAATGTGAAAAACATAGTAATTAATGAAAGATAAACAAGAAGCAGGCAGGAGGTCAGCCTAGGCACAGAATGACAGCGTTCCAGCAGAGCTTCCTGTCCGTGACTACAATTAGTGATGGCTGAAGTTACGTTAAATCCACCTGGTAAATGAGAGGATAAATGAGCCTAATGTAGACTAGCCGGGAAAAGATAAGCAAGTCTAGCAAGGGAAATGACAAAGCTATAAAAAGTTAGGCACACAACAAAATTACTCGGAGGAAAAGGGAGCTGAGGAAAGCCAAATATACTGCTGCACTGAAAGTGAATTCAGACTGCACAGAACAGTGAACGCACCTAACTTAATCTGGGATTGTTTTGCTCAGCCAAGCCAGGAAAGAGGGGCGGCTTGGCAGACTGAGTCAGTGAGAGCCAGGCTGATGAAAGAATATGGAAAACTCATTTTTAATTGTGCTTTCAGCAGGAAATTCACGTGACCCAAGTCAGACATAATATTACAAAGTAAAACATCATTAACGCTGCAAATGTGCCCGACCTTGTGCATTCTACTCATTTCCCCAAACCCATTTATTCGGCTCTGTTTAAGAAGATAATGTAAACCAACACAGCTGATGCTCCTAAATCAAGGACTTTCTAATATACTCTTATCTGCCGTTAAATTAGGACTTTCTGGCATCAGTTACTGCAGCTGGGTGTTGAGGCCACTATCATCACTGACTCCAAATGCATCTTTGTTGTGCTGGTAAACTAAATTAAAGCTTGCTCATGAAAATAAAGAGCAAGCTGGGACGCTCCGTGTCCATGTCTCACCTTAATAAGGTCTCCAAGTAGTTTGTTGGCCTCTGCGTAGGCCTTCTTCACCTCCTTGAACTTGTTGCCCAGTCCCATACTGTGAGCCTGCAATAGACCAATGAACCGAGTAAGCTTTTCTTTTCATTACAACCAATTTAAGAGAAAAATCAAGGAATGCTGGACAAGCCAGTCCTGCAGCTGAACACTTGGGAAGAATTCTACAGCGACAGTCCTGCGGTTTAAATCACTTTGAAATGATCTCTTAAATTTTTCAGTGTGACTCTAACAGCACAAACGCTGCAGAGTCTTGTTTGTATTTTGGCACAGCATTCACAAACACTGGAATAAGCAGCTTTTACTCAAGTTTCTGAGCTTTGAACTTTAAGCACAACCGTGTTAACAACAGTGACTGAAACAGATGATGTTATATTGAGCTAATAGACACAGAGAACCTGTTTCTCCATTTTAAGTTAACCAGATACAAACGCAGTTACAAAACACTGGGACGCTGTGTAAAATGTAAATGACAACAGAATGCAAGGGTTGAAAATCAGTACTGGATACGCGTGATCTTTGGGACCTCAGGTGTCAGCGCATTAGAAAACAGGCACAGCGTGAACGCAGTTCATCGTACCAGTCGCAAATTTTGGAATTGGATTCGTACAATGCAGTAACCTAATGTTTTTAGCCTCGAAACAATCCACTGACAGGCAAAAACAAAACGGCAGCATTTAACTGTACCTGGAAGTGAAGGTTGGTGTACTGTCCCCCAGGTATCTCATTCTCATACACGTCAGCATTGCCAGATTTCATGGTGGCAGTGCAATCAAACGGAGCATACAAGCCTCTGGCTACTTCCCAGTATTCACTGTAGTCAAACACCTTCTCCAGAGCGATGCCTGCAAAACAGGACAATAAACTGACATCAAATCTGTGCTCAGTGCACACAGTTATGTGACTTGAACTGAAAATTACTTTACACTTAAATGTCACATGGGGCAAAAACAAAAGCAAAGATATTTTGATGTTTGAGGTCTTTTAATATAGAAAACTAAAGCATGTCACTAGAGATAGAGACCCTGAGCAGAAATTTGAGTTTGTAATCTTAGGGGTTACTTACACTCGCCTGCCCCGACTAAACCTGTTAAACTATATGTTAATGCAAATATCTAATCAGCAGATCACAAGGGCAGCACTTAAATGCACTCAGACCAAAGTGTCAAAGTTCAAACGGAGCATCAGAATGGCAACAAGGTGAGTTCAGCGACTTTGAATGTGCTATGGTTGTTGGTGTCAGACTGATGTGAGCATTTCACAAACTGGATTTCTGCTGAAATTTTCTCAAACTATCACCTTTTTCTAGGGTTTACACAGAACTGTCTGGAAAAAAGCAAATATCCGGCAAGCAGCAGTTCTCTGGGTGAAAATGTTTTGTTGATGGCAGAGGTCAGGAGAAGGGCCAGACTGCTTTGAGCTGATAGGAAGGAAACAAACTCAAATAACCACTTGTTATAACCGAGGTATGTAGAAGGGCATCTCTGAGTGCACAACATGTTGAACCTCAAAGCAGATGGGCTACGGCAACAGAAACTTGTATCAGCTCAGTATAGGAAACAGAGGCTACAATTCTCAGCAGAGTCGCCAAACAGAAGATATGAAAAGCAATGGATGATCTTTTTAAATGCCACAGTACCCGAGCATTGCTACTGACCATGTCTATTCTTTTATAGCCACAGTGTGACAATCTCCTGATGACTCCTTTTAGCAGGATACGGTGGATTGTCACAATACTCTCAAATAGCCTCCAGAGTCATAGATCTCAGAGCACCTTTAAGATGTGCTGGAACAGGAGATTCCCATCATGAATATATATCGCTGACAAATCTGTGTGATCACGTCCAACCCAGTAATAGCACAGCATATGAATTGGCTGATGGGATTAAATGCATTCAGCATTAAACAACAATACTGTTGTCTTCATGTAAAGTAGCAATCACCAGATTTAGCTTACATTGTGATACGGTCTATAAATACAGATGAACCGTTAGTGAAGCCATGGGAGCCTGCCATTTATCTGAATTAGTCATATTGACAACATGCGCACTGTGCCAACTAGTCAATTGTGGGCTTATGATGCTGATGCTAATGCAAAATAAATAAGCAGCATGTTAAACTGAGCAGTGTGCTAAGCTGTTGTTAACACACACCAATCAGGTATGTTTGAATACATCTCCAATGACACCACAGTGTGCCGATTCCTACTCTCAGCCGTCTGCATCACATACAGCAGAGTACCATCAAATAGAGAACATCGTGTGAAGAGGAGATGTGCCTGCTTGGTAGGTTTCTATGTAGTCTCTTTCCTTCCTCTATCAATAACACAGTATCAGCCTGTAGTTTTTATAATGTACTTTCAACAAACTAGTCTGCAGCACAAGCAGCAGCTCATGTCTTCTGGAAGGTGTATTACAGGATAATATCTAGTTTACCTATTGTGTAAATTGTACTCGGAGCCTGTAAGCATGCTGGAAAAGTCACTCTGTATTTTAATCTAGTCTTTGCTACATCAAAGCTGCTTGTTAAATCCCTCGGATATTTTGAGATCTTTAAAAAAAAAACTAAAACAGCATTTGTTGCTGCCACTTAAGGTGTGTTAAAGCAGCTTACCTTGCAACTGCTTTAATACCATGACAGAAATGGCAGTACACTGAGCTTTTGGCTAATGATGACAAAAATCAGCCATATTAACGAGCCAAACTTATTACTTCAATAACAGAGACAAGCTTGTACTTTTTAGATTGAAGGAGTACATACTCCAAAGTGTTTGCGTGCCTCCACTGATCTTGGCGGGTAAATGGAGCTACTGTGAAATTAATGTGATATTAATGTGCATGTTGTTGCTCCTCAAATTCAACCGTCTGCCAAGTCAGGCAGTAATTGGGTCCATTTTCTTCTCTGTTTGTGAACACTTATTTTTAATCTTTCATTTATGCTTCCGTTGTGAAATTATAGTTTGGATTAATACAGTGTGGGGGCATGTTCGGCAGCTGAGTCTGATTCAAAGGTCACCGTGGGTGAATCTTTAGCTCCTCCCTAAAATCAGCTGCAGCTGAGCCGCCACACTCAACTTTATATGTGTGGGGGCTTTTAGCTGATGGACAAAGAGACATTTGCAACTTTAAACCACCTAATTTTAAGTCCACCGATTTAAAACGGTGGATACAACAAAGAGGAATGCCCTGTAACCATGGTAATTCAATCACTTCCTGTCAGTGTGAGATCTGGGTGTGAGAAGAGAGGGGGTCCCTGAGCTCTTAGCGTTTTGGAACCGGAGGTCATGGGTAAGGGCTATGACCCCAAAACATAACCTCCTTTATCATAACTTGTGACTTGTGCACAATGCACATAATTAACATCATGTTTTATTAAATAAGACTCAGTGAGCAAACTAGAGATCTTAAACTCATCAGGCTAATGTCTACTTAGAGCAGGAGGGTTACTTCTTTTTCCTCCATGAAGGTAACATCAGGTGGGCGGGCAAACTCGGCTAACACTGATTTGACTGGTTTAGTATTTAACCAACAGTAGAATTGTAATCTCAGCTAACCTAAAGTCTGGTAGGCCACAGTTAATGCATGTGTTAGCCTATCTGCTCTTTTTCCAAGTCTTAATTGCAATTATGCTAAATGGCACATTTCTCACTTCTGTCACACTGCAGGGGATTAACAGACTGTGACCGCCAAAGAATGATGTTTGACTACTAAGGCTTTGACCTAATCAACTCAAATAGTGATTGAAAACGATTTTTTAAACTGGTTTGAATTAATTCCCAAACACGGTGTGACACTTGATATTGTTTAAAAATAAACAAATGATATGTGACTGAGTTATAAGCTGAAATAAGGAGATAATGAAAGGTCAAAACATCATCTTACAAGCTAACATTTCATTTAAAGTGTCAGCAAGTGGACAGGTTTACACACGCCGAATCAGAGTCTCAGTGGAATTTGGGGGGATGAAGATAATCTGCAATAAGAGTTGAACAATGACACCGTTTGTTGCAAGACATTTAAAGAACTAAGAACATCTTAGTGGCGTCATATTCAACGAGAATGAACCATTCAATATAAGAGAATCTTGTGCGTCATTTCTACAGTTCTTGAAAACATCTTCAACGACTCTGGAGATGTTTTGAAGATCTTCTACACGTCTTTGTCTCACTCTCACACCCCCCCTCTCTCTCACCCCGCTGCCATAAACCTGCATTTACTTTACTGAAGAAAACGCTAATTTCCACTTTCCAGTATGTTAAAAAGATTTCACAATCAGGTTATTGTATCATATCTTATGCAGATGTGATTGTTTACAGATGCATGACACATTATTCAGTCAGTAAGTAACACAATGACTGAATTACACTATGTCAATGGCCTTTCAGTTTCTTTGGTCAACACTGTGGTTTATTCTAAACAGAATTAAACTAATAATAGAAAAAAAAGATATTTCTGAAAGGATTCAGGGTGTCAAGTCCAACAACAGTGTAAAACCCCTGAAACACACTTCAACCAGACCGGTGTGATAAAACAATTGATCACGACCGACTTGCTCCCTCTCTTATATCATATTATTCTTTTGTTATCTTAGCTCCTACTTCGCACTCTCGCGCTTTTACTGTTAATACTTTAGCCAGCTTGCCTTCTTCCCATAGTAATACCATTTTTCTTCAACTACTTTAAAGCATTTTATTCACACAATTGACTTTATTTGGACTTACCAGGTTTAAGTTAATCAAGATTTCTTCATCTAGTTTAATTTTTGTTTAATGTGGCACCTAAATCTTTTGTGTATTTTGGAATAAGTTACATTTCTGAAGCCTGGTGTAGTTCAAATAAAACAATTCAGAGTCTAAATCAACAGCAGCAGCTGCTTCCTGCTGTGTGCCAACATCATCTGGCTCTGTCCTGCAGAACCTGCTCAGTCGACTCCAGCCAGACTGTCTAAAAGACCCCTACGAATTGAAATCTGCAGATGTGCTTCATTCCCAGTAAAAGTCCCAATGATGACTGCCCAACCTGGAGAGAGGTGCTCTAACTCAAGCCAGCCTGCGACTTCAATAGCAAGCAAACAACCAGCTTCAGCTGCCGTATGATCAAACTAATGCCCCTGGTACTCTAAAGACAATTAAGGAAAAAAATGGTCTGAAAGTCTAAATGACTTTGAATTAGTCTGAAATAATAAACATTCAATCTAAGATTAACTTTGCAATTAATTTTATTCAATAGTAAACTGAGAATCAGACAAATCTTCATCTGCTCACCCCTTGCTCCTTTTGTACACAGATCCTTGTAAATAAATCCGACACACACGCAACCGTATGACGATAAATCTATAATTAGAACACAAAGGATGATAGGACAAGCTTTTTCCATAATTGAATAGTGTGGATTCGTTTGCTTCACTTGTTCCCCCCTTTTAGGCACCCATGGGAACACACATGTCCATAGATCACTCACACAGATGGCTGCTTGGTAGTGACGAACTGCCATCAATATTCAGCTCATTAGCAGCACAAAATCACTAACAGAGGATACAAACAGACAGACGCATACTTCTGCTTTCATTAATCTATACACACACTTTGTAGACTGACACACATATACAGTTGTAGCACGCACACACCAGAGGCTGATGAGACGAAGACACAATAACATTGTGGGAGAAAAAACCCAAATACAAGGGTAGATGTAGCAGGTTGGATACATTTAATGCCTCTGCTCAAACGTTTGTCTGGGTTCAGCTGTGAGTGTGTAGGGTTTGACCGTCTACACAGTTAACGTATACCCTCTGAGCAGAGCGTCTGCCATTTGTTACTAAATATTTTATCAATTAAATCCAAGCATGATGCACAAGAGAAGGCAGTAAATGCAGTGTCAAATAAACATGAGGACCATTTTAATATGTGTCATCATTCAGCTGCATAACTATGTGTGAATATGTATGACTTTTAAAACGCATGGGTATGTACGCACGTCGCGGCTTACTGCATAAACAAAGAGACAGCATGAAGACAAACAAATTAACCACAGAGCCAATGCTTTGCCATTTCTCTGGGAGAAGGAGATACCAAGAGAGATTTTGAGGGAGACGAAGGGAAAGGACAAGCAGAGGGGGAGTTGGAGGCATGGAAAGTGCAGTTAATTGGTTTGTCGCAGATTGAGAAAGAAGGAAGAGGAGGATGACGAGGGAAGACAATGTAAAAGCAGGGGGAGTAATAGGAAAAGGCATAAGAGCAGAGAGAGGGTGGGAGATCGAATAGGCAGCGCACACTACACTGCACTGATTATTGCTTTGAAAGAGAGATGGAAGAAAGCTGGGAGAGAAGCAGTAAACAGACTAGGGTCAGTGAGGTATGGAAGTGTCAGACAGTGCTTTTCTTGATTACAAATGTAGTAAGATGGGCAAACAGAGAGGGAAAGGGAGAGCGGCACAAAAATCACGCGGTGATGAAAAGAAGACACGAGGCCAAGATGACAGGTATAAAAGAAGCTGGATGTGAGAGGGAGCTGTATGCATAATGCATTTACCAGGGTCACCCCAGGATACAGGATAGAGCACGAGTGTGCACAAATGTGTGTGAGACAGTCTGCAAATTGAAATTCCATGAATAACCTGAGAGACTTGAAAAATTCTGGCTTTTGAGTAATGACCTTGTCTTTCTGTTCCCATTTTTTTGGTACTTTATGCTCACAAATTGACATTGTGTCATTAAACCGGACTGCGACAAAATTTCTTTCACTGAAACATTTATGTCGTGCTCTACAATGTTTCCTACTCGAGTCCAAGAACCTGTTGCATCCAGCTGTGGGTTAAACGAGTACTGAGTGAGCAGCAACGATGCAAACAGATTTTCCTTCATGGCTCAAGCCACACATTATGCTGCGAACACAGCACGTCCAAATGGCTCTGCTACTACGTTGCTTTATGAACAAAAAATCACTTCCTCTTCTATGAAAGGGTTTTAAATGTGAGTGATCATTACATTTTGCTGCAGAAACAATAAGCCAAGCAAAGCAGCTCATTCACTTTGAAGGACTCCTTCAGGTACAAACACCACCAACACCTGTGGTTTACCATCATTTTCTGAAACCACTGCAGCTGCACTGTAATTACGCTTAAGACGTTTTTTAGTCTCTCAAAAGTGGAAATGACTTGTGCTTTAACCCAGCCTAATGTGCCCAGCACTACAGAAGTACTGTGATGTGATATCACCACGATATACAAATTTAGTTTTTGATGTTTCTCTAATGGTTAATCCACCAGAATGTGCAAGTTCGTTAACTGAAATTATATTTTTATGGCTGAAATTATTATAATTATTGTGTTACAAATTTCTAAAATGGAAAAAATGGAAAAAGCACATTACTACTTCTGATTAAGATGCCAAGTGACAGTCATTTACTTGCATTTCTCGATAGAAAAATAAGAAAAATGTGTTTTAGTAAATGTTATGCTTGATTAAGGTCCAGCGTGCCGACTCGAGTTTGGGTGTAAAAATGTGAACCAAGCCTGTTATTGCCCTAATAAATAATATGTTTAAGTTTTAAACTGTTTTTCTATATTTATGCTTTCATGGTTTTATGACATGGTCTAATACATTTTCTAAACTAACAGTTTAAGGTGGGATTTTTCCTCATGTACGGGTTAATTACTTTAAATGTTAAGCACTGATGTAACCATGTAAAACAAACTAAGGCTTGCTAGATTCTGCATCAGTTTAACAAAAAGTGATTTTATTCGCGACAGGAACTGCAGAACCCTCTTCAGACCACGTCTGAGAATACACCAATAAATATGCAAAGCAGGGATGCACATGTGTGTACCACCACAGACTGAGGAGTCTGTGCTTGAGGATAACTGCAATGGGGCTACATAAGAGTCTATGCCAAGCGATCAATGATAAAACTAAGGACAATCACCACACGGCAAAAAACAGGCGATAGAAAATAGTGTGTCACAGAATATCAGGGCGACTACGCCAGTCTATTTAAAACATAATGGCCAATAATTTACCCTACAGTGCCAAACTTCTTATGTTGAGGAGCTGACAGTGTGCAGTATGAATATCATGTAAACAAAATTAGCTGGGCATTTTAAGGTTCTGAGTAATGGAAATGAGCTATCACATCTGGTTAGCAGAGCTGAGCCAGTATTCCCAACAGCATTACTCCACATAACTGAGCAGCAAACTCCACATCACTTTTAATTCCTTTAACCCGATTCGTTTCCCTTCAATTTTTAAACAGAAGTTTTACGACTGAGTGCGCTAACACATCTTTTCTGCTGCCCTCGCTGTGGGAGGTCATCGAGTCCAGTCGCTGATCAGAGGTGTGGGAGAATATAACATAATGCACAATACAAAGGCCAACAACAAGATATCTGGTACGATGCTGTTTGGGAAAGCAAATCAGTCACTAAGTGTGACATTAAGACATTTTCAGAGAACCTTAAACCCTTGAAACGCTCCAAGGATGCTCCTGATGTGCTTGTGCTGCACATCAGGTTTCAACTTTTAGCAAACTTATGAAATACGACCACCTTAATAATGGCTACTGCTGATATTGTTTATGAAACCATGTGAACCATTTATCTTATGGATCAGAGGAGGAGTTTTTTATTGACCACAGTGGTTTCCTTCTATTTTCTGTCTCCTTTTCTTTACATCGCCCTCTAACAATCGACTGTGTACTGTACATTATCACTGAGCAGAACACACAGGTCTGCCTGACTTTGACTCATGCATCGATTTGTTGATCAATGCCTTTCCTCCTCTGAAGCAGGACACTCAAAAATGTATTCTGAGCTTGATCTCATTAACAATTCCAAGCTGCAGGTGTAGTTTTAAACATTTAGTTACTCATCGCAATACTTACTAGTGCTCCTTTGGCCAAAAATAATTGTAATTCTTTATATGACTTTTTTTTTTTTTTAAACAACTGACCTGAGAGGCTAATGAGTGTGTGACATACCGGTGTCAAGCTTGGTCCCCTTGGTGCAGGCAACCATGGCTCCCATGCTGGGCTGGGAGGTCATCCCAGCCATGGAGTCAACCTAGAGAGAAACAATCAATATGAATACTGTTTGACCGAAAACCTAATTCATGACCTTTGTAGATTGCCTGTACATGTAGTCCTTCCCAAAGTCTTCAGCTAATTACACTGACCAGGCAGCGTTATGGCCACCTGACCAATATTGTATTGACCCCGTTTTGCTGCCAAAACAGCCCTGAGCTGTTGAGGCACAGACTCCACTGGACCTCTGAAGGTGTGCTGTGGTCGTGTAAGCTGTCAAGCCTCTATGGATTGGACTAGTTTGTCCAGCACATCCCACAGATGCTCGACTGGACTGAGATCTTGAGAATTTGGAGGCCAAGTCAACGCCTCAAACTCTGTTGTACTCCTCAAACTGTTGCCGAACCATTTTTTGCTTTGCAGCAGTGCACATTATCCTCCTGAAGGAGGCCTCAGCCATCAGGGTGTACATGCCTACAGCAACACTTAGCTAGGTTGCATGTATCAAAGTAAGATCCATAATGAATGGCTGGACCAAAAGTTTTCCATGTGAATATTGCCTGAAGCATCATACTGCCAGCTTGACTTCTTCCCATAGTCTATCCTGGTGTCAGGTGTTCCCCATGTAAGTGACACAAGCACCGGGTCCATCCATGTGATGTAAAAGAAAACGCGAGTCATTAAACCAAACCGTTTCATTGCTCCATGGGACAGTACTGATGCTCCTCTGCTCATGTTGTATTCTACATTTCTATCAGAACCAGCATTAACTTCTTCAGCACTTTGAGCTCATCTGTTGGATGGGCCAATCCCCCACATGGGCCAATCCCCACGTGCATCACTAAGCCTTGACCGCCCGTCACCACAGTTGCTTCCTTTCTGATAGATACTAACAACTGCAGACCGGGACCATCCCACAAGAGCTGCAGTTTTGGAGATGCTCTGACCGAGTCAACACCCAGTCTAGCCATCACACTTCAGTCCTTGTCAAACTCAATCAACTCCTTATGCTTGTCCATTTTTTTATGCTTCTAACATCAACTTAGAGGAAAAAATGTTCACTTGTTCTGTAACATATTCCATCCACCTACAGTGGCCGTAATGAAGAGATAATCAGATTTATTCACTTCCCCTATCAGTGGTCAAAACGTTATGCCTGATGAAAGCACAAAGAAAAAGTAATTTTAGCACACTTTATTGCAATTGACAGATAAGCCAATGAATACAAAGGCTGAGTGGGCGTTTAACCGATCCATGGTGGGCAATCAGTTGTTGCATACGGTGTTACAAAGAACTGAACAGCACAAACAGCAAATAGTAGCCAATTGTTATAATGAATCTGCCCATGCTGGCAGCATGCGTCAGTGATCGCAGTAAGGAAAATGATCCTGGCTTCAGCAACAGTTCCATCTTAATTTCAGTGACATTTCACAATGCAAACTGCAGGAACTGGTAGAAAATTAATGTTTGTTCATGTTGTGAGGATAACTGGCGTGTAGACTGAAATAATTATTTTCTCATTATTTGTCGAATAGCAGTTAGCACTCGCCATATGGCAAGCATCCTATAATGACCCTGATATCAATTTTAAATCAAAGTTATGGAGAAGTCCCACTTTATTAAGTCTCATAGAAGAAACATGTTAAATACGTACCGCCACATCAACTACATCAGCACCAGCTTCAGCGCAGGCCAGCATGGCAGCAACACCAGCTCCAGCTGTGTCGTGCGTGTGCACATGGATGGGTACGTCTGGGAAGCGGTCCCTCAGAGCGCTGATCAGAAGCTTACTGGCTTCTGGCTTCAGCAGGCCGGCCATATCCTGGTGGGAGATGGAGGGGAGAAAGGTTATAGGTCTGAGGAATACATGCAACGCACTCATTAGCACAACAGAACGAAGAGTCACATTTTCTACACTCATTATGAAGTGTAAATTATAACTGATATTACTACAAATTGCAGGCAGAGCTTAGATGTTTAGTTGTGCTCCCTTTGATGATCATTGCACTTCAAGAAATTATTATACATGCCTGTTTCCTCCTTTAAAAGTTAACCTCATTAGCTCTGCCAGCCGTTTATGAGATTGTCACAGCTGCGTGTGATGGTGCACACTGTGGCAGAGTGTGCGAGTTTATCATTTCACGTTTCAAAATATTCGGTCATGCCTGAATGAAGAAATTAATTCATTGTGAGCATTATCAGTCTATTCATTTAGATAAGAAGCTCAAATATACAAGTTAATTTAATTGAAGCAAGCTGAAAACCTTCAGCTGCGTTCAACAGTTCACTTGTGAGAGAAACTCAAAGGGTCACTTTAAATCCATGTGCGAGGTGTGTATGCTGTGGACACTGGTTATTGATGGCTGGATATTAAACATTCATTTCCATACTAATGGCACCAAATGTAACAGCATCAGAAAAAGATCAGTACTGTAGATGCAGAATATTACAGTTTGCTCACATGATGAAATATTGGTCAGTTTTCAAGTTCTCGAATTAGTCAAGCCAAAGGAGCTTTACCATCAACACAAAAGATTTATGTTATTTATGTCTGGAAGCAAACTGGCAAGGATTTCCACACAGGAGCAAAGCAAGTGCCAAAAACTTTAGATTTTCAGAGGGAAGGAAAAGATGGCCTGTGCAGCTGCCGAAGTTGAGTAGCACTAAACCGCTCCCAGGTCCTTTTTTTATTTACTTACCTTGATAGATAGGATGTGAGTTCCAGCTTTGACAAGCTCATCTGCCAGTTTGACATAGTATTCCAGAGAGTACTTCTGCCTCATTGGGTCAGACACGTCACCTGTGTAGGAGATGGCAGCTTCAACTACGCCACCTGCTGCTCCAGCAGCCTCCATACCCAGCACCATGTTAGGCAGGTAGTTCAGAGAATCGAAGACACGGAAGATGTCCATGCCGTTCTCCTTGGCCACCTCGCAGAACCTTATGGTGGGAGCGGGAGAGGCGATCGTGTTAGTCGACCCACACAAACTGTAGTGTTTTTAAATGTTAATTGTAATCAGGTCATGGATGCTGTCAGGACTGCCTGTACACGGTGAGATTATCACACAGTCTCACTCACACATACATAATGAGTTCGTCTTCATGCACAGTGTACTCCAGATAATGGTGCACATCCGGGTAGGGATAAGCTGTTTATATCAGTCTCCATATCGGCACTCATAAATATTGCTGTACCTGAGTAAATACAATATTCCCACTATTTTCATGAAAAGTACGCTTACACAGCCCACAGGAGCTCACAATGACTGGAGAGAAATGTATAGCCGCCTCATTATCCGAGCTGCTAGTGGTAAATCCCTCCTATTATTGCCTTGGCCTCGGTATCTTAATCAGGTTTTTCATAAATGGGGTGAGTACGTACTGTAGCTGTGCTACTGTGAATGCAGTATTTACACAGACTGAGAGCTTTTATTTTGGCAAATAAACAAATACGCATTGTGTGTTCATTTGTGCCACAAGAGGATTAGCTGTCAAACGTCTGTGTCCAGTCTTTATTTAGAAATACAGTACAATGTATACAAGCGCTGTCTAGTCTATGCTATCTGGCGCCAAATGGAAAAAAAACACTGCATTGCCCTAGATATCCAACTCAGAGCTGAAGTGATCATCATTCATGCAATGCAGGAGGATAAGTTTTGTTGTTAAGAAGTTCATAAAGTCCTAATCTAGTAAGCAATCATATGACCCCTTCATTTCTTTAGGCCGCAAACATTTCACATCCCTCTCCCTCCAAAGTGTACTGTGACCCTGTAAAAGAATTTAAATCAATTAAATAGAACGGAATTACTCTTTTGATTTGATTTAGCTAATGAAGACGCTTAGGTCACTTGGCTGTTAGCTGCTGCACTGAAAACATTGCGGGTGAGGGAGTGAGCGTGTAAGCGGGATGGAAAGGGAGCCGGGCAAACAGATCAAAGTCATTAATCACAATGATGTGCAAATTTTCGATGGCACTCTCCCTATGGGACGCAGACTGAAGAGGGAGACGAGGACCAGGAGGAACAGAAAGAAAGAGGGAGTTAAAAGGAAGGTAAGAAGTGTATTATGCAGGGAGACGAATGGAAGCATAAAAATGGGAGTTATGAGTGGGGATAAATGATTGGTGTATGGAAAGGAGGGTTAGAGTAGACGTGTAAGGATAGGGTAGTTGTGTGATCCAGGCTCTAATATTTGTGTATGCACTGCAGGTGTGTAAGCTTGTATATATATTACTCATGCACATCAACAAAGTAAGCTTGTCAATCCATCTGGAAAAGAACTGCAGGCGTGTCGGTGCATGTGTGGAGGTAGTGCAATATTCATGGCCCTAAGTGCATTACTAATATACAGCTGTATCAATGATGTGTACCTCGGTAAGCATGCCGAGAGACTACAGGAACACATCAACCAACTGACCTGATTAAATGTGAGTAAATTGTGTGGTTTGTGGCTAGCCACCGTACGGTGCATCTAATTAGATATATCGAGAGGAGAAGCAACCGTGCTGGAAGGCTAGGTTGGACATGTCCAGCTTTTATTTTGTAGGCGCACTACTGCTGGGCAGATGCTATAACATAATTATTACAAACACAAGTAGCTATAAAACATCCCTAATGTCATTAACTTGAGCTTCAAGAAGCTAACTGCTGAAAAGGTTGGAAAACAGCATGAAATATGAAGCTCGTCTCATAAAGCTGTCAGAAACAGTGTCATCGTATGTTGATTAATTTTTATCGATATGGGAAATCGAAATTATATATGACACTTGGGCAACTGTTCTTAAAAATTTAAAAAGCCAATGTGGTGTAAGAGTGCTGTGCAAATTTTATATGAGCATTGGGGAGTATATTCACTTTTCAGAGGTGGAAAGATTCTGTTTCCTTCACTTTCAAAAGGCTGTGCAAGTGTACAAAACAAAATCTACAAAGATGATTCTGTAACAAAAGGATGTAACCAAAACTCACGAAAGGTTTACAGAAAACACATTTTGTTATTTTGAAATCATTTCTCAATTCCAAACTACATCATGAGCAGAAAAGAATGAAAAATATGTGAATATGATTAAAATGTCTTCCTCCAAAGAAGCAGACACCTTTCTAAAATGTTCTTTAATAATATTTCTCCAGCCTTTTTGAAGGTCTTTGAAAGTTTGTCGTTGGACATCGTTTTGATTTTTTACTTATTTTCAGTTCAGTCTTCGGACCGTACCATTTCACAGGAACTTTAGGGAGGAAATGGTGTTGTGTCTGCACACCTTGCCTTAAAAATTTTAATGAAACTGGATAAGCAGACAGCATAAGAATAAGTCGCCTAAAAGATCGTCTACAGCAACTGAACATGTGAGAGTCATGTCCTGAAGAACTGGGGGAAAGAATCCAGCAAAGACCTGACAGGACCTGAGATACGCATCAGTTTGTCAAATGACTTTTTGATGAAGCCTCAACATTAATGGTCTTAAAGGAAGGGCAGCTGTGAAGAAGTCATTCTTAAGGAAGGGAAACTGTGAGAAAAGGCTGACGTATGCCACTGAACAATCAGTGAGAACAGGTCTGACGGAGGGTTTAATCCAAATTTGAAGTCTGGAGTAGAAATGCTCTCTGCTGTACTTTTTGCTTAGAAATAAACACCTCCGCGTGATATTATTCAAGAACAACAATACATTTCATTTTCAATAATTTAACAAAAAGTGCATGCATGAACCTGACAGTTAGCGACGTTGTTCCCATAGAAACGACAGAAAATTTCTGAAATAATGTCACAATGACAGACAAAGCAGAAGGAGCAGCAGGTGGCTTTAAGAAAATCTGATTAAATTCATGTTTTTCAACAAATCAATAAAAACAGTTTCCAACACAGCTGAAAGAAACAAAAAAAGCCAGATGGGGAAAACGTTAAAGCCGCTCCAGTGTTACGAAGTGTCAGCTGAGCTGTCCAAAGCTGGATGACCGGATACTGACTTTACTCTGAATACTGAAAACTACACCACTGGTTTGTAATAGTCATTAGATCTCTTTGACAATGCAACTTAAGCTGGACATGCGTGCATGTCGGGGCATTCATCACTGGATTAATGGACATATTTGGATTCAGAATACACATATTCATAGTAAACCTGAATAATCTGAAAATGTG